TCAGTCATCTGAAAACAGTCGCTGACTGTTAAGGTGTGCCAGGTGAACCCTGTGTTCCCATGAGACTCTCTTCATTACAATCATTGTAATCCCATTGCATGATGGCCTTACTGTCTCTACTGCAATCATAGCAGAGTGAGTGTGGCATGATCACCAGCCTCCAAAACCCATCAGGTTTTGACACACTTTATATCATCTGTCTCCTAGCTCGGTAGCCCACTTGATTCTGTCTTTGTAAATCTATTGACTTTTTCTTCTAAATCGTTCTTACATTTTCCCATATGATTTCTGGGGACGTTAGCATTCTACTCCTTTACCTCAGTTAGCAGAGAGATTGAAATCAAGTAACAGAGGGATTGAAATATTGGCTTCAGTTGGGCTCAGTGGCTCAGACTGTAATCCCGCTTTGGAAAGCTGAGGTGAGTGGATTGCCTGAGCCCACGGGTTCGAGACGTCATCTCTACAATAAATCAAAAAATTAGCCGGGCATGGTAGCACGCGCCTGTAGTTCCAGCTACTTGGAAGGCTGAGGTGGAAAGATCTTCGGAGCCCAGTAGGTCAAGGCTGCGGTGGCCGGGACTCCACACCAGCCTGGGCGATGACGTGAGACGCCTACTCAAAAATAATAATAATAATAAATAAAAGTAAAGACTCTTTGTCATGCAAAAAAAAAGAAGAAATATGAAGTCTGAAGAAAGTTATTTAGATAAATTCTAAATTTACAATGCGGACATTTCATCTATTTAGTTGTGGCGAGCTCCAGTCAAACTTAAGTAGATCATACAGGTAAGAGAGAACCCCCCCAACCCAGAAATATGTCAAGACACTGAGATCTCAGACAGGAATTCTTTGATTTTTTGAGGGAGGAAGGACAGGAAGAGGTGGGGGGTCATAGTTGTCTCTGTTCATCCGAGGATGAAACACTCCTTAGCAAAATGTCTTTTCCATAGGTGCAGTGGGTCACACCTATAATCCTAGTTCTTTAGGAGGCCAAGGCAGGAGAATCACTTCAGCCCAGAAGTTCCAGAACAGCCTGGGCAACATAGTGAGACCTTGTCTCTACAAAAAGTTAATAAAATTAACCAGGTGTGCTGGCACATGCCTGTAGTCTCAGCTACTCAGGAGACTGATGCAGGAGGATCACCTGAGCCCAAGAGGCCAAGACTGCAGTAGTCATTATTGTGATACTGTATTCCAGCACCTGGGTGACAGAGTGAGACTCCAACTCAAAAAAAGTGTCTGGTCAGCCGGGCATGGTAGCGCATGTCTGTAATTCCGGCTACTTGGAAGGCTGAGGCAGAAGGATCGCCGGAGCAGGTCGAGGCTGCAGTGGCCGGGAG